GAAAAAATCGAACGTACGCAGAGAAGGATATTGTAGCGGTAGTTCATCTACCCGGGTTTCCAGAGCAGTTAAGTCCAGCGGAATAGGTGGACCTAGCCATGCATTTCGTGACTCGTGGTCCCTGTTATACGTCAGCATCAAAAAATAACCTTTTGAATCCAGCCAGCGTACAATTTCTGAAACGAAAGAGATCGGTACGGCCATCAGCTGGGAATAGGGCAGAGAACTCACTGGTTGACGAGTAAGGGGATGCACGAGAATACTGAGACCGCCACGGTGGAGACACAAATAAGAGAAAACAGCGCTAAACGTCTCGCTGGGGACCCAAATCTCATATGAGCCTGCCCAATGGTTCAGACGGCCAAAGTTGCTTTGGATATCGACATACCAACTGGATGCGGTCCAATAGGATCCGTATTAACCCGAAAATAAGGGACAGCAACAAAAGCCCCATCGCGGCGCAAGCGCAATACAGAATCGCGCAGTTCGATAGCAGCTTGGTGCTCGTCAGCATTTCGCTGATGAAAATAGATATCTATGATGATTTAGCATGCAACCAGACGGGAAAAGCGAGTAAATGTACGGAAATGCCATTCTCTGTGGCACCAGGTCAGTTTCTGTGGCGAGGCGAAAAGGACCAGTGGACTGACTTTATTTCAGAGTCAACGACAGCCTGGAGATCAGTAGGCGGTTTTTTGCTGCTGGGCATTGGTCAGAGATGCGAAGCAACGCTGTGGAAAGAGAAATGAAATCGATAAGACGCCATCAAAGCCAGGTGGCCCGTGGGAACGCATTTATGTCACGTGTGTGGCGCAAGCCGACATCGGACGACGTGCGGCAAGCATCGTTTGAGATATAAATTTGGATGATTAAGCCAGGTTTTGTGGCGCGGAATAAAGCAAAACTGAGTTACTGTCTGACCAAAGCATGTACATTTGACAGAAGCCATGTGGACCACATCAATTTGCGCCACGGCCACTACAGTCCAGTTGGGCAAACTTGCCCATCCAAAGCGCAGATTTTGGTGAATTGAATTACGCTTCGGTGACATTGGCCCATTGTTATTGTCAGAAAGCCAATGCGTTCAGTCTCGCCATGTAATGTGACCCTACTTTGCCGAGTCCCTTGTGCAGCTAATTCCTCCATTGCTCATCAACCGACGCTTGTCCCTTGTATTCGTTGTGCTCTGCATTTTTGGATCCCTTGCACTTATTACCCGATCCCGGTTGGTGGCTTTTCAGTCAGCGCCACCAGCGCTTTACACCAGTTCTCTCCCCGAGCCTGCTTGCTCGTCCTCTACCCCAAAGCGAACGATGCGCTATTGATATCCAGCTCGCTTTCGTGAATATTTGGCCGGTATTTCGTGGATTGCTTTGCCCAAAATTAAGTGTCCCCGCTTTGCACGATCGACAAAGCGGTGGCACAAGCGTATTTATGGCAGTGCTTTGAATCCGAGTCACGTATAAAAGAGACGAGAATTAGGTATCTACTTATCCACCCACCCGGCAAGATGTTATCCCAAGAGCAGAAGGTTCCATTATCCTTCGACGAGAGCAAGGCATTATACACCCGCTTGGCCCATGATTTCGCAGCCACTGCTGTTCTGGATGAAGACTGTGGTCATTTATTCAAGATTGCCCTTCCGATCCTCGAGCCAGAGGGACGCTGGAGCGATGGAATGCCAGAGGAGGTGAAGTTCGTTGATCAAATGTTAGTTGGTATCATTTCGCCACACAGTAATCGAATCAACTGGCTGTTTTCAGGGCGAAAAGGACAGAGCTGGCTGGTCATGTCATGTGGAATGGTGTTCTTCCGTCGCCTGAAGGAACCCCCTGGATCTGTCCCAATTCCTCTATGTCTATAGCTTCCAGCGCGAGTCCCGAAAGCAAGCCTTGCACAAAGACCCGATTGTGCCACTCATGTGTCGAGTAAGTCCCTCATTTCTCTGCCTGTGGAAAACAACCACTCAACTTGAATAACAGGAGAATGTCAGACTACAATTGGCCCGACTGGCGTGATTGCGATTTGAGTCTCGGATTCAATGGAATAAGCGACCTTCAGGTCACTCTACGACCAGACACAGAGACTCCGAGATTGTGGCCAACATTGAGAGGCTCGACCGTCGAAACTGGTGCAACCGGTGTTATAGCAGCTTCAATCGGTGATACATCGGATTGTTCAAAGTCCCTCAAACCACAAACTTCTCAGGCAACACTGACTCAAATGATCAAAACGCTTGTGTGAAACGCCATCACGGTGTTTTGTCTCAGTCCTTGTGATAGAGTGATTGATTTATCATTATCCAGTTCTAGTAAATCAAATATTCTACTGTATGTAGCAACAACTCGAACTATTCCATGTCCCATTCGTTGCGATGTGAGCTCAATGGCGCGTCATAGAACCCACGCCGCGGCCCCACGGCCCAGACCACGCGAGCAATATATCACCCGTGACCGAGTCTGTCTATTTTTATCTCACCTACTCTTCCTCCTACCATCCGGCATCACTCTGAACCCACCCCACCATACGATGGTGACAATGATCCTTGTGACCTTGAGGCCACTAAAGTCGATGGAAAGGTTAGCCCGATTGGTCGCAGCTGAAGTCTGCTCCCATGCAGAGTTAACTCCCGGTCCTCGGGCTAGCCAACTATCCAATAGCCATGTTCTCTCTTCCTAGAGACACCATTATATGTTTTGCCGTGATATACCGCCATTTAGTCTCTACTTGATCCCTCAAGCTAGGTTCCAGAATCCAGGCTGAGAAATCTCAGTTCAGGTCCCGCCCAATTCAAGCCACGTCGAACCAATCGGCACGTTAAATTCTCCACTTCTAATAAACGCTAAAATTTCGCCAAAAGTCGCGGGCCGGCGGCTCTCTCTCTGTCTATCAAAACGTCCAAATATGGAGGTTCAATTCAGGCGATGCTATTGATGCTCCCCCCAACATTTCGACTCTCGTGTAAGAATAGTGCTACGTACCTTGTGATACAGCGGCTGATCTTTCCCTTTGCTTCCCGCAGGTCCGGAAACAGCACGCGTCAGCAATTTCGGGCTTTTTAGTTTGGGTTAAAAGGCAACCGTCTGCAGTAATCTGTTCTGTATTCCCTACGATGTCCGGTCTACTCACTCTTGGATCACTCTTCGCCTATATTGCGCTAGGATTCGCCTTCCCAGCTAATGTTACAACGCTGAATGCGCCACGGAAAATCGGAAAAAGGTGTACCGGTCAAATTCAGTCACTCGCAGATGTTGCTGCTGCGGAAGAGTGCACTACCATCGTTGTACGTGCCGTTTGACTTTGAATTCCATCAAAGAGTGAAATACAGACAGATTGGAGGCTTCACTGTACCAGCTGGGCGTGAGTATCGATCTCTACTGTTGATGAGAAGAAATCGCTGAATCCAGGGTAGAGACATTTGCTTTGGCGCCCCCTGATGGTGCTTCGATCACCCTCACAGGTCAGTGTTGAAGGACTCCCGGATGATCATGGAGGCTTATTATTCTATGATCTGTAGGACAGATCACTTTCGCTGTCCAAGTACGGACTCTTTCGGCCATATACAGTATCCTGTCATTGACGACTTTTTCATGGTAGAACTGGGCCGGTCCGTTAATGACGATCACGGGAAACAGCATCACTTGTCAGTCTTTCTGTTTCATCTGTGACAGTGAAGCTTACATTGTCGGTAGTCGACGGAGGAGGACATAATCTGGTTGGAAATGGAGATCAGTACTGGGTGCGTGCTGATGCGACTTTGGTGTTCGGATGCTGATGATTATTACAGGACGGTCTTGGTCTCAGTATGTGCGGTTCTATATCATAATCTATGTCGCTAATGAGGATCTAGACGGTGGAGTCCAGAAGCCAGATCCCATGCTTCGCATCAACATGGGCGGTACATTCAGTAACATCCAGCTGGTCAACTCGCCGGCCCGTGCTGTCGCTATCGGAGGCTCATCATTGACCGTCAGTGCTGTCAATGTCAACAACGGTACAGTTTTTTCTCTCATTTTCGCTTGCAGAGTCTTACGATATCCAAAAAAAACTAGCGGCCGGAAATGCGGCCAACAGCAAATCCGCAGGCATTGCTGCTGGACACAACACCGATGGATTTGATGTATCTGCCAACAATGTCCGCATCCAGAACAGTGTTGTTCAGAATCAAGGTACTATGTTTGTGATTCATTGCGTCGCGTGATACTCAAAGACCTTTGTACAAGATGATTGCCTTGCCATCAACAGAGGCACGAACATCACCTTCACTGGTAACAGCTGCACCGGTGGACATGGAATCTCCATTGCAAGTTGATCTTTGCTCGCCAGAACCAGGTCTTACAAATGCTTTGATTAGGGATCCGTCTCATCGGGAGTCACTATATCTGGTGTTACCATTTCGGGTAACACAGTGTCCGCCAAGTATGTATTTCCCTACTTGTAACTACCATCGCTAATAGAATCACAGCACCAACGGCCTGCGCATCAAAACCGACGCCACAGCTACTGGATCCACCGTCAGCAACGTCGTATATAGCGGAAACACCATGACCGGAATCACTCAATTCGGTGTTCTGATCGATCAGAGTTACCCAGCTACGCTGGGAACCCCTGGAACTGGTGTTGTCATCAATGTGAGTCGCTCGAGTTTATGCTACATGTAGATGTTAACGACCATGTATCTAGGGCGTAACCTTCTCTGGTACCAACAAAATCGCCGTTGGAAGTTCTGCGAAACGTGTCGAAGTCAACTGCGGATCTTCTAGTAGCTGTACAGGGTAAATCTTTTCCTATCATCAAGGCTAAATCTAAAATTCCGTCTGTAGAACCTGGAACTTTGCTGGATTGACCGTGACGGGAGGGGCGGCAGGTGCTATTGTGAACAATGCACATGTCACTGGAGGCTCGTTCTAGGCTGTTCTTGTATAACTTGTAAACGTTACTTGTATTCTATTGAACATTGTATCTGGAGACATGATGATCGTACTGGCACTCGCGTCATTGCCGCCTTGGCGTAGTGGTAGCGCGTCTCACTTGTATAAGGACGAGGTGATTATGCAATGAGAAGGTCATTCGTTCAATCCGGGTAGGCGGCATCCTTTTAATTCATATAGAATTCACCCAATTTTGTGAACAGCCAGGTCTACTGACCTGCTTGACTCTCGTAACTGGAATCAATGTTTCCAACAGCCCAGCTTTTTGCGCCATCTGCGGTGTACAGCTGGTGCGATTTCGGACAGGAAAAGTTACGCTTGTCCAGAATTACGTGTTTTATATGCGGGTTGTGTATTTTTGCGCGTTTTTGTGTTGGCAAGCGAAAAAAGACATTTATCATCATCTTGCTGATGCACTCAGTAACTTTGGAAATACAGCGACCAAGTACAGGGAATGATTGTGAAGAATGCCCGAACTTTTTGACAATAGCCTCATCCTGTCCAATATCTGCCCCGCCACTCGCCATCAAGCGGTGTATGCGACTATTAAGATGTGACAAATAGTCTCGTGCCCACCAGGGAACGGTTCCAACTTCGGTCGAACGAGGTCCGGAGCACCGCCGGAGTGTCTGGGGCCTTGTGTTCGCACCCAGTGCGAGTACATTCATGAGAAACATAGCCCCCGAGCAGTGTCTGGCAGTGGAAACGAGAGTTGGGGCTTCGGTACCATTTGCAAGTACCAGGGCCATCAGGATTGTCGGATACCCCGGCCTGCTGCAATACTTACTTCGAGGATCTGTGGTTTTGTTCCAGTGAAACTTGGGTTCGAGGTGCTTGCAGCTGGAAGTTGAGGCGAGATTTGAAGGCGCTGAGCTCGATGTGCGTCATGCGGGGGATATCCGGGATGCTGCTTGATGATATTTGCCACTGAAGGATTCTGGGCACTGGTTACCAATTTGATGCATTGAAGCGGGGCGACACCAACGTTGATGATGAGTACTGTAGTTGACGGAACTACTGCTTGATTATACTCACCGTCCCGGCTGCTTTGCGAGTTTAAAGCGTTCCAGCCGTCCACTGAGAGATATTCGTGAATAGTGCCATTGGTTTGGTTACAAGTCCCACGGTCATGTGGGCTCGTTTGTTTGGAGGCAGCGAAATTCAGGGAACAGCCATCAAAGTCCCCAAAGGGGATACTCACATGCATAGCACTGCCTTACTCGGTGACGTATCTCATCACCTCTGGTTCACGATTGCCCTTGATGTTACTTAGTCCTGTGATTCTGTGGGAAGAACAGTAAGATGATACTTCCTCAGTGTACTGTATCTTCTGGCCCTATGAGCCAGCAAAAATCCAACTTGGCCAACAGATGGTCAGCATTGTGATAACTCCATGTTTCACCTGTTTCTGTGTATTTTTGCGCTAGTTGACAAAAAGCGGTTAGGTTCTTATTACAGCACAGCACTCTGGTGCAACCTGGCCAATAGAGTTATTACAGCTAAATTGACTTTATTAGAGGGCCAAAAATGATATTAATTCTACAGTATCCTATATACACATACAATTGTAGTTTGACCAGTATTGGTGCTTGGAAATAGTGTTGCCGCGGATCAAGCTGGCTACTTTCAAAATTAGCCATCATGCTCTAGATAAATTCTCTCAATTTACCAGAATATTTGAGTAGGTAGAGGACACTAGCATCAGTATTCTGCAGTTTTACTTTTTGTACTTGCTCAAGTAAAAAAAGTACTAAAAAGTACTAAAAAGTACAAAAAGTCAAAAGTCAAAAAGCCAGGTTACCCTTTTTGAAAAGTCACCCTTGAGGAACCCTAATCTAGGGACCAGTCTTTGTACTTTTTGCCACTTTTTTACTTTTTTACTTGCGGCAAGTCAAAAAGACCAAAAAGTAGAAAAGTAAAACTGCTTTTTACTGATGTAGAAGCTGAGGGGTCCTCTGCCATTGCAAAGTGCTCGGCCCGGTCATTCTGCTGGCATTTGATCGGCTTCTAAATCAGCTCTGAACCAGCTCGAAACAAAGCCGATGGCATACAGGCCGTACCAGAGAAAGGTGCATAACTCTGGCTGAGGATCCCCTGGCTTATAGTCACATCTAGCTCCTCAAATATTATGAGGAATTTAAGACTTTCCTGTCAGGCCTCAGGGCCCATTCACTATGTATCAGGTCCATATATAGACACTGCTACTAGATCCGAATAACTCCAAACACATACTAATAGATCTGACTAGGTGACATATCGGGACCTGTTCAGATCAATTCGGACTTGTTCGCAGGTGGTAGGACCCTCTATATTTGGCCCTGATACGTAGTGATTTCTGAGAATAGGCGATGACATGGAAGAAAACAAACGGACCTGTGCCTGTCGCGCCAGGACGGCCTTTAACCCATTCATCGGTACTCGGATTAGCTATTTGGTTGTAGTGTGAATTTAGATTATCACAACGGTTGACAAGTTATGGAAATCCTAGAGCGACAGGAGGACTTGTCCATACACTGTCAAGTCAAGATCGGGATTTGGATTTTTGGGTTGGCTATTGGTTGTGTCATAAATATATATTATCACAACAGTTGACAAGTTATGAAAATCCCAGAGCGGTGGGAGGACTCACTCAATGTCTATACACTGTCAAGATCAGGATTTGGGCTTTTGGGTTGGCTATTGGTCGTGTCGTAAATAGATATCATCACAACGGTTGACAAGTTATGAAACTCCCAAAGCGGTGGGAGGATCCACTCAATGTCTATACGCCGTCAAGATCAAGTTTGGTCTAGTGGCACTCTAACCGGGGAATGGATCATCACGGGTGTCGAATATCCCGATCCAAGCGGAATGTTGCTTTATTATATATATATATATATATATATCATCTATTTTCTCTGGTTCTCCAACCTCCCATGCTACCCGCTCCACAAGATGTTTCACCCACAAATCACCTTGCTGAAGAGATGTGAGTGAATCAGTGAAGTATCAAATGTTACTCACTAACTCAGTATCTGCAGTTATGGACCTATCCTGGTTGGAGTATTTTTCAGCACAGTACTATATGGGGTCTGTCGCACATTAGATTCTTAGTGTGCTGTTAGATTAACATTGATTTACTCAGATAAATGTTGTTCAGGTAGAATTCCTGTCTGGAGGGTCAAAAAGACCACTGAGAAGTGCTCTAGATGTTTACTTACCATGAGAAGTCATCAAAACGGTATGTTCCTTCCAGCTTGTTGTGTCAATCATTCTGATCAGTGGCTGCTCAGAGATTCCAGTTGGACCCAGGGACTGGTTTGTGTCTGAATAGATGTCTTGGTCTACACTAATGTTCTGAAAGGTTCTATGTCTATTTCTATGCATCACCCTCAAGACCGCGTTCAACATGGTTGCTATATATCAACCTCTTGTCCAGCAATTTGGTAGGCCCACTGCATCCATGATTAGCACCCATTGTTAACAGATATTGATCTAGGCCAGCTACACCCTCAACTACCCTTTTGTAAGCTGAGTATGATTCTGGTTGATTTCTTACTGACTTGATCTAGATCTACGATCAGGTTTGTCTATTAGCTCAGTCCTTCTCTATTTTCAGGGTTAACACATCCTTGAAAGACCCAGTCATGACAGTAAGCCCATGCCTGTTAATGTAAAATTGAATCTGACTGTCGCCATAGGGGATTATATCAACACCGGTTCAACTATTGATGGCCTGGCGAATCATGGTCATAACAGAAACTAGGCTTTGGACCTATATTATCGTGGCTCTAGCCATGCTCTCATTGGGTATGTACTAGTGATATTAAAGCTACAAGCCCTCATGGTGCAGGTGCATCAATGTGCATAACCATCCAGGTTTCATTGAAGCCTAATGTCTCACAATTGCATGAGTTGCGTGCTCCTGCCATGACATGGTTAGTATCATCCGCTGTCACCGATCTCATAATCACTGGGGTTTTGGTTTATTCGCTGGTAGGTACTTAATCATTGACCTTGTTGATATTTGACATTCTACTGGCCCAAAAAAGCATGTCAGAAAGAGCGGTTATAATACCTCCCTGGACACATATGTGAACTATATCATCCGCTGTATGATTTTTATTCCCTTTGATGCACGCAAGTCTTGACAGTCGACTAGTGACTGTTCAAACTGGTGCATTGACAGCCATCCTTGCTCTTTCTGATGCACTAGGGTTCAATGTTCTTCTGAAGGTCTTGTCTCCTCTGTCTTCTGGTTCTAGTTGATTGACATTGAGATAGGACACAACAACGTGAGCTTGAGAGTATATCACAGGTCATGTGTATAGGCTAATCACTCAACAGCCCCTTTGCTTGGAGTTTGGCACTCCCAAACCTCTATATCAGCACAATACTCAGCTCGTATATTTATTTTCCCGCCTGACAGTTATTTTCACTGATCGTTCTACAGGCTCAATGCACGTGATTCATGGACAAATAGAGGAAATGCACTGTTACCAGCGTCTTCTAATGATAGCTACTCTCAGAGTGGATTAGTATGTGCATTTTCCATAGTTTGTCATGCTCACATTGATAGCTGTCTAATCTTTTCTAGAAATTTTGGGGGAGTATGGCCCTGAAAAATCCAGCTCACATTGATATAGAAATGCAGTCTGAGTTGAATGGTGAGATGGGAGTGCAGAGAAATGATTTGGTAAAGGAAGAAGGGCCAATGGGTCCAAAATTGCCCTTGTCCCACAAATAAGACTATGAATTGGAAATGATCCTTGTTGTGCCTTATATTTCATCCATTTACACTGTCAACTATTTGCCAATCCAAAATATTTAATAAAGATGCATGCCATCCCATGACTAGGTTTGATAGTTCCCAATTCAAAAATGGGATCTTGCTTCTGAATCTCAAGATCACTCCTGACTAGGATGTTTGTCCTGAAAATGCTACACAAGATATTTTTGAGACTATTGATCTCATTGATGAGCAACCAGACACCCCAGAAGAAAATCCTGATGTCACCAGTGGGATAGACACCATCCTCCGGTGACAGCTACTATAGGGTTCACCAGGGGTAGAGGTAATGGTCTGGGAGGCCCTACCTCTACCTCCCAGACCTTTACCTTGAGGAGGTATACCTCTACCCTACCTCCAGATTTGAGAGGTCTAAAAAGGTACAAGTTCCCAC